AGAAAACACTTTTGTTGCTCTTTGTTTGCCTAGCCAATGTCAGCTTATCTTGAGCTTTGGCTTTCCTTACACTATTCCTGCAAGCTCGGGCTACACATCTCTCCTCTTTTTTTGAACATTTCTCCTTACTTTCATTCCATGAGCATACTCCTTTTTCTTTTTTACCCTGAAATATATGGTCCATATTTGACTTCCCTTTTGTCCAGTCCCCTCCATTTTGAATTCTTACATGACATGGTAACTTTCCCCTAACTTTGATTCCTATGACTAACTCCTCCCTGTTGGTTAACATCACAGCCAGGATTGCTGATCCCCTTGTTCCTTTCTCTAGTTATTGAAATAAGAAATTATCCAAAAGGGACATAAGAAAATTTTTGAAAAGCTAATGCATGTCAGAGTCAGGATGCATCTATATTGTAGAATTAATGGACTTTGTCACCACTTTAATTGCAACAACCCAATGGTATGGGAGTTGCAAGGTCTTTAGCATTGTGTGCCAAAGAAGGCAGTGCCTCACCAAACTACAAATCCTGGAATTTCATTATATTGAGCCATAGCATTTAAAGTCATGTCAAACTCTATTAATTCTACAGTGTATGTGTATTTTCAACCTTCCAGCAAATATCAGGGTGATTGAAGTCCCCTGTTAGTATTAATTCTTGCATCTTTGAGAATTTTGAGAGTTGGTTCTGAAAAAAAAACATTGTTCACCATAGTTGAAAGGATTCTGATTTTTATCCAGCATGATTCCTCACAATTACAGCCCTCTTCATTTTCCTTGGCAATTTCATACAGTTGGTTTTATATGATGAATTCTCTCTGTGTTCCCAGGAAATCCTCCTATTCTCTGATGCATGGAAGAGACTTAACACAGACAGCAAGAAGCTATTATTCAGTACCTGCCACAGGTATAGTTAGTGATGTTTTCTAGCAAGAAGATAAATATTACACATCCATTAAGCAGAGAAATATGGATCCTTTTGCCACTACCTCTGCAGTTATTTCCCTCCCTTTGCTCCTTTCTCTGTAGCAATGGTTCCCAACCTGTGGTCCGTGGACCACCAGTGGTCCTCAAGAACAAAAATATGGTCCACAGCTTCTTAATTACTACATCATTGCCACAAAACCACATGGCAATAAGAGCAACTGGTCTTGTGAAACCCTCTTATAGTGCCGAGGCAAGAGGGATGTCAGGAGGGAGAGGCTGACTCCCCATGAAAGATTATTACTACCATCATCTCTAGATTATAAAATACGGTTTTCTGTGGGCAAGCAGATGGTGACTACTGGATGGCATATGTTCTGTATCAGAAACTAGAGCTGATGTGGTCTATTCAATGAAGTTTTCTGAATCAGCACCCCAAATAACCAAACGGAATCTAAAGTTGACCAGAAACTGATTCATAACCCTTTTGGTACTAATGTTGGAGAGTGGTTCCTGGTCAAGTGGTCCCTGGTCAAAAAAAGGTTGGGAACCACTGCTCTATAGATTTGCATTGCTTCTCAATTTTTTTCCACATTCCTAAAAGCTTTTCCTGAGGCATTCTTGTGAAGTTTAGTAGTATTGACCCAATTGCTCCAGGGCTAGGATGGCAATCATGGTCTATATCAACAATACTTTTTTCAATGCCAGATCTTTGTCTTGTGCTACCTTGCTTCACTTTTTCACCTCTTTTCAATAATGTATACTCATTACTACAGCAGTCTCAATAGGAGCCCCCGGTGACGCAGTGGGTTAAAGCCCTGTGCTGGCAGGACTAAAGACTGACAGGTCGCAGGTTCGAATCCCGGGAGAGGCGGATGAGCTCCCTCTATCGGCTCCAGCTCCTCATGCGGGGACAAGAGAGAAGCCTCCCACAAGGATGACAAAAAAACATCAGAAATCATCCGGGCATCCCCTGGGCAACGTCCTTGCAGACGGCCAATTCCCTCACAACAGGAGCGGTTGCTCCTGACACAACAAAAGAAAGAAAGAAAAAAAAGCAGTCTCAATTTAGTAAATTTGGTTTCTAGTGAGAATTCAGGATTGATCTGCTTTTGGACTCTTTTATTTGACTGTTTGGTAACCCGCAGTATCTGTAGAGCCCTTATCCAGCACCACATTTCAAACGAGTGGATTCCATTCTTATCAGCTCCCTTCACTTTCTAGCTTTCAAAACATGAATAGCAATCAGGAATATGATAGCATGGAAAATTCCAACTCTGGTGTTCATGGATATATCTACACTTGACAATCTTGCCTACTTCTTTCATAGCTACCCTTCTGTCACCTAAAGCACATCTACACTAATCTAATATCTCAAAAGAAAGGTGGATTAGCGCTGTGGTGGCTGCAAGACCCACAGAGCTGATTCAAATTAACATGGTCTTGCACTGCATAAATAAAAGTCTTGGGTTGCTTTGAAGTTTCTCTGAGAAATCAAGAGCAAACTGTGACTTTGGGTCCATGTGAACAGTTGGGTTAGTTCTGAGATGGAACCAAGCACAACACTTTACATTGTCATCCCATATTCCCTAAGTTCAGGTGGCCCAGGGACATGGGATGGCACTTATTGTCCTCCTTCTGTTCTTGTCATAGCTGTTGCTTCTGAGCATGACAAAACAGACGGCTGTGACTTATCACTTGGAGTGGGGTTGGCCAGGGCACAAATGTGATTGTAAAAGGGAGGGGAGAAAGGAGGTTGCTCTGGCACTCCGACCAATGTCACATCAACTGATGAGCAACGGTCACCAGCCCTATCATGCCCAGAAACCACCATTATGATAAGAACAGGAGCAAAACAGTAAAGGTGGCAGTCCACTGCCATCTATATTCTGCAGTTGCACCAGACCTGGTGGTAAAAGCCATCTTGAGCCCAGTCTGGAATTTGACACTCCAGATTGGCCATGGGATATAGTGTCTGCATAGAATTGCCTTCAGCCTTCTTCTGATTTAATTAAAACACTATGTGATCTGACTCAGGTGGGACAGGAAAGGAGAAACAGACAAACTAATAGCCCCTGTTTTACCTTCTTTCTAGGTCGATATATAGATAGCTACATTTAGGCTTTACTTCCTTTCTCAGTTAATACTTCACAATCAAAAAGTTATTTTAATGTTCTATCATAGTTAATTAGTGCTTGATCAACCACATTGGTATCCGAGTCATACCATGCAACTGTGCGTCTTCGGCTCTGTTGAGACTATTAGATTTTTAATATATCATAATATTTCAATATACAGGCAGTCCCAAAGTTGCAAACAAGATAGGTTCTGTAAGTTTGTTCTGAAGTTGAAATTGTTTGTAAGTCAGAACAGAGACATCTTTTAAGTGTAACTCCAGGCATATATATATATATATATATATATATATATATATATATATATATATATATATGGTTTTGATAGCATAGTGAAGCATAGTGTAGCATTTGTTTTGCTCTCTCTGCCCTGATCAGAAGATTTCACCATACTTTCTTTCCCTGTGATAATTGGATTTTGAAAATGTTGGCTTCTTGTGGAAACAGATTGGTGATAAAGCTTCAATGGATACTTTCCCCCCACTCTTTCAGAAGTGAATTTCCTTTCTTAGGGGTAATTTTTTCTCACTTCCTGTTGTCTCACTCCAATTCTTAACTATGACTCATTTGTAAGTTGGATGTTTGTAACTTGGGGACTGCCTGTACTCATTGAACATCAACATATTTGAATCATTGTTCAGCCTTGAAATACAATGTTGTAGTTGCCATGAAGGCTTTCTGCTCTGTCACAATAAAGTAATCTGTGATGCTATAATTTTGTTATTTCCAGATTATGTTAAGACACTGTCCATGGAGTTGCCCTTGAAAATGGTTCAGAAACATCAGCTGATATACAATGCTATCACTAGGTTGTTGTCTGGATTCAGAACATATATAGTGTTTTTAAAGTTGTTTTTGTAATTGTGATATATGATATTTTAATGAGTGTATATGTTTTTTATGGCTGGAAACCGGGCTGAGTCCCTCAATGAGGTTGAGAAGCTCGGTATAGAATACTGTGAAATAATAATAATAATAATAATTACTCCCAAATTATTTGATTTATATGAGCTATTTTGGCTTCCAAAAGGATCACTGCTGTCATCATTAGCATCACATGAAGAGCAATTGTCTGACGAGATGAGCCTCTACTATGTGTTACAGTTTATCATACAATGCAGAAACCTGAAAAAAAAATCAAGTTTCTTGATCACATGGACATCTTTATGCACAGTGGAAGCCCTCATCTTCTCCTTGCATGGAAAGAAATGTCAGCAAGGACCAGTGATCTCCACACTTCAATTCAGTAATTTCTACTCTAATCTGAACTATGAATGCATGGGAAGATGATTTTTTAAAGTTTTTTTTTATAGAATTCAGACTGTTACAGAAAATACGTTCTAGAATATGTCCTGTTCCAGAGTATGTCAATTCTCTCATTCTGGAGCAATCCTCAACGACCCCAACAGAGGTAAGGAGGAGGCTGTTCAGTGCCTTCCTTTGTGTTTTCCTGCTGCTCTGCTCTTCTTAAGAGGGCTTTGTTAGGAAATACCTAAACAAGTAATATCATGGCTACTCTATTATATGAACATTCTGTATTTTTTCTCATTGGTGTGATATTCAAATCATATCATTATGAGATGATGGCCCTTTTCAGTCTCCAATGCTGGCTTCAGTTATGTGATGACAAATGCTTAACTGTAATAATAATTGGGTGATTCCAGCCATGAAATCCTTTGGCCATATCATCATCATCATCATCATCATCATCATCATCATCATCATCATCATCAATTGCAAGACAATTACATGATTCATTTGAAAACAGCAGTGCTAAGTCATGTCCTGGCTCCAGTTCATACATCACTGTGAACCATTTGACATTGAGAAGGTCGCTCTTGGAGGCTGAATTCCTGAAAAAGGAATGATTACATGGTTCATAATGCACACATAGATAGGGCAAGATATTTTTGTTCCAGCTACAAAATCCAGTCTTCTGTAGGGACATTGTTTTGAAGATGCTTCCAGTGAAAAGGGAGAAACCCCTCTGTCTGTGATTCCGGGAAGCAATAAGCACCTACATGAAAATAACCCCATCCTTAATCCCCTGCCTATCCGTTTTGATCTGATGGCTTCAGTGCAGGCAGGAAGATCACTGCGCGACAGAAAACGAAGGCAAGTTAACAAGATGTGACCGGTCCCATGGATAAAACAATAGAGAAAAACCTCCTCCGTTTTGTCTAGAAGTCTGGTGCCATTCTTATGTCCAGGTAGCAATGTGGGTCATACTGGGCTTAGTTTGCTGCCTAGTATTTGGGGGGCTACCGTTGACTCTCTGCTCCTGCCCTTCTCAGTGTACCTGCTCTTTCCACAGTATAAGTGAAGGAACAAAAGCAAGGTAAGCCTGCACATATATATTTATTTTGCATCTCATTCAGTGTGGTGAAAACATAGATTTATAGTGGGTTCTTTTAGGGGGAATGTGGGTCTAGCATGCTGCCAAAGCAGAAAAACCAAGTAGACCCGAGTCACTCTGTAGCTCGTAGCTGCAAATGTTATTTTCCCAATCACTTTGTACCCAGGCTTTATGTGCTGTAGGATTAGCTGTGGAGCACACTGTAATCTGATTTCAGAGATGGCATTTAATGATCTTCTATATACCAAAGCAGAAGCAATATAATTAACATTAATGTAATGTTGGAGAAAATGGAAAGGTAGAAACTAAAATCGAGCTCTTTGGAGAAATTATATGTTGAGGAATAATTTTTAAAGGAAACATTTGGAACTGCTATTAAACTAATCATGGACTAATTTTTTGAAGGAGTAAACCTTTTTGCAATATAGATAATACAGTATCTAGATTCTGTACATAAGATTGTATTATTGATCTTCTAGCTAAATATATTTTAAAAAATCAACAATTATTAACCCCAAGCTGCATTTTATTTAAAATATGCTTTCAGTTAAAACATTGTTAAAAGAGCAGCAACAGATGTTTTCATTTTTCTCTGGGGTATAAATATTGATTATGTTTATTCAAAATATTGCTTTATAAAGTAACTAGCAAGGCTATACCAACATACACACATAAGGGGGAAATGAAACATACTGGGTAGCCAAATACATTAGTAAAAGAGTGGGACTATTTATTGATTAACATCGGTACATTTATTTTTATATATATACCATGGCACCCTTGGGGAGTTTATGCAGAACTTGAGTGGATGTTTAATGCAATACTTATCAATATCAATGGATTTTGAGGTATATTGAAAATGTTGTATATGCATGATGCTATTCCTGGTTGGAATTGAAATTTTATCTCTGTGTTAGATGAAGTCCTTACGTCAAGATATAAAGATGTGAATGAGGTTGACTGGGATTGTTGTGGTAATACTTGATTGAATCTGTGACTGCTTCACAATACACATTCATGTATATATGTATGTCAGGCATGTAGCTGGGGGGGGGGGCTTTGGGGCCTCAGCCCCCCCCCCGAAATTCTCATAGTGATCCGCGAGAAGGCCTTACTGGTACATTATTTAAACTGTTATGTTTATTCATATCATGATTTGATCACCATGCTCAATATATCTCATATGCATGGGGGTATTGGGGTAACGATACAAAAGGTTTGCTAGGGTAGACCCTCTTTCACTCAGACTCATCCCCCCCGAATCAAACTCAGCCCCCCCCCCAATCAAAATCCTGGCTACGGGCCTGATGTATGTATAAGTGCCTGTGTTGTGTAGATTGCCTACACAACATGTGCAGCAGACAGGGCAAATTTCCAGCAGAATAATCAAAATGAGAACACTAATAGAGCTTTAATTGTGGCATGCATTATGCATCTTTTGCAATGGACAAATAACAATAACCTGCTGTAAAGTACTTTTGGTGACCTAATCTTCCATGTAAAAAAGCCACTTGGTTATGTAAATGTCCTTTAATTCCTAAAGGAGAGATATGTTGAATTACTATGAAATCCCATGTCTTAAAATATAAAATTATCATTCATTCTGGAGATGTCTAGAATATGATAGAATACAGACACTATATCACTATATTCTAGATGAATATATTAAAAGTTATTCTAGATAAAGAACAAATGTTTTCTACATATTAATACCCCTTGATGCTGCATCTGAAAAATGGATTATATCTACAGAAGCTCATGCAAAAACAGAAATAATCTAAAAGGCTCTGCCACATCCCCCCCACCTTTCCCCTTTTCCTTTCTATGTATCCTAAATGTTAAGAATATCTTAATGAAAAGGTAGGCAGTAAAGCAGGCCACCACAAGAATATCTTTCTCTGGAGATGTTACAAAATTTATCTTTTTCTGGAGATGCTACAAAGATCATTTTAGTCAGTTTGTAGATCTCAGTGCCAGTACGTAGAACAGTTGCTGCCAACTCTAGGTATTTACATATATGAAGCAAGTTAATCTTCGTCAATCGAATGACACCCAAGATATCTTGGACTAAAGTTGACAACCAATGTGGATGATAGCACTTATAGTTCAATATATTTTGAGGGCAGTATGTTTGGGATGAAGAAGCCAGTGGGGTGAAATGGTTTGAAGCTTGGACTACAACTCTGGATACTAGGTTTTGACTCCCCAGCAAGCCAAAAAATATATTTAGTGATTTGGGGCAAGACACATGTTCTTAGCCACAGAAGACGACAAAGACAAACCTCTTCTAAACATACATTGACAAGAAAAGTATGTTATAGATTCACTTTCGAAGGCACACAGCAAGTTGTTTGGGAAGAAGGCTTGAAGTATTGATATTTCCATAGTAAAAACACACCCTCATCGGAAAAAATACATCATTGTTTCTACAGCTAGCTTCTATCTCTGGTGGCTTCACTATGAACACCCATGAAAACACATGAAAGAAAGCTTTTAATGCACATTAGTGCTCTGTGATTTGTGTAATCATGATTTGGGCCTCAAATTGGTTCCAGGATTTCCTGTGCTATCATTTGCACAGTATTTGTGGTTTTTGTGATTTTTTTTCTATATGTTATTACTGTATTCTCAATTCACTTCTGACACAATAAATAAAATCTGCACAGTGAAATCAGTTTCCTCAATGCCAGTTTGAAATTGATTTCAGCTAGCTTCAAACCGCATTAAATGAGTAGTGTGGATGAGTCCTGAGACATGAGTAACCACAACACTGATCATTTAACAAATGGCAGCATCTCTCTTTTTAAAATAATACTGTGTTCACTTGGCAGCAGTGCTACCAAGTTCCTAGGCTGAGAATTCAGGATTGGACAACCAAAGAAGAGTTCCTACTCTGTGACCTGACCAATAACCCATTAAAGAATGGCACAACAGAACTCTCTATACCAGTGGTTTTCAAAGTATGCTTCATAGAGTCCTGGGGGCTTCATGAAGCATACTGAGGGGCTCCGTGCTTTCCTCCTCCTCCCCTTCCTCCCCCCAAGCTTTTCCTCCTCTTTCCTGCTCCTCCCTCACCCACAAAAGGCTTTTCCCTTGCTGACAAAAGCCCTTTCCCCTCACCTTCCTCGCCCTCAAGGCCTTTTTTCCTCACTTTTCTCACCACCCAGATCCTTTCCTCCTCAACTTGCTTGCTTTCAACACCCTATTTCCCTCCCACCACTCAGAGGTGCTTTAATTGTGCTTTTCCAACATGACAGAAGAAAGCTGGTCTGGATGGCCCCTGGGATTTCACATAAATACTGTTAAGTTTATGTTGGTCAAAAAGTTTGCCTGTGCCTGATTGATATCTATATCTATATCTATATCTATATCTATATCTATATCTATATCTATATCTATATCTATATCTATATCTATATCTCTATATCTCTATATCTCTATATCTCTATATCTCTATATCTCTATATCTCTATATCTCTATATCTCTATATCTCTATCTATCTATCTATCTATCTATCTATCTATCTATCTATCTATCTATGTAATGTTAGTTTGTGGGATTAACATAACTCAAAAACCACTGGTCGAATTGACACCAAATTTGGACACAAGACACCTATCAGGCCAACAAGTGACCATCACTCATAGAAACACTGAAAAACACAGCAGAAGGCACTTAAAAAGCCAAAGAAACAAAAAGACACTAAAGCGCATGCGCAGAAATGGCTCTCCCTGGCAAACTAAATACACAATAGCATATCCACACTCTCTTCCGGACTACAGCTCCCTGCATTCCCTGGGCCAGGCCCTTTAGGAGAGGAGGATGATCTAAATTGCTTCCAAGACGCAAGCTTGCTTCTCCTTGGATTTCTTTGAAAGCATCCCAATCCCTGCATATTTCCAATTTCCTATTCCTAGACTGCAACTCCCAGCAATCCTCCAGACAGATAAGGTAGATAGATTAGATAGAGGTAGATAGGTAGGTAGATCAATCAGGGGGACTGCTGGGAGTTGCAGGCCAAGAATAGATAGAGAAGGAAGAAAGGGGAGAAAGAGGGAGGGAAAGAAAATGGGAGGAGAAGAGGCAAGGGAAAAGGAAGAGAAGGAAGGAAGAAGGAAAGAGAAAAAAAGGAAAGGATGGAAGGAAAGAGGGAGGGAAGGAAGGAAGAGAAAGAAAGAAGAGAAAGAGGGAGGGAAGGTTGGCAACAGCAACGCGTGGTGGGTACAGCTAGTATATTATATATACACATTATATATATAGTATATAATACTATATTATATATACACGTTATCTATCTATCTATCTATCTATCTATCTATCTATCTATCGATCGATCGATCGATCTAAATGCTCTGTGCATAAGGAGTACCTTAAAAACAAAAGAACCAATGAACGAAATCACACCAAATTTGGCAACAAAATGTCTCACAACACAAGGAATGACCATCACTCAAAAATTATGATTTTGTCATTTGTGAGCTGTAGTTGCTGGGATTTATAGTTCACCTACAATCAAAGAGCATTCTGAACTCCATCAATGATGGAATTGAACCAAATTTGACACACAGAACTCCCATGAACAACAGAAAATACTGGAAGGTTTTGGTGGGCATTGGCCTTGAGTTTGGGAGTTGTAATTCACCTACATCCAGGGAGCACTTTGGATTCAAACAATGATGGATCTGGGCCAAACCTGGCACAAGCATTCAATGCGCCCAAATATGAACACAGATGGAGTTTGAGGGAAATAGACCTTGACATTTGGGAGTTGTAGTCATTGGGATTCACAGTTCACCTACAATCAAAGAGCATTCTGAACCCCATGAACGACATAATCGGGGCAAACTTCCCACACAGAACACCCAAGACCAACAGAAAATACTTAAGGCCATCCAATCCAACTCCCTTCATCAGGGCAAGAAAATGTAATCAAAGTCCTCCTGACAAAGAGCCATCCAGCCATAGATATAGATAGATAGATAGATAGATAGATAGATAGATAGATAGATGGATGGATGGATGGATGGATGGATGGATGGATGGATGGATGGATGGATGGATGGATGGATGGATGGATGATAGATAGATAGATAGATAGATAGATAGATAGAGATAGATAGATAGATAGATAGATAGATAGATATGATTCACACACAGAGAGATACAGTATCATAGATGTGAAAGGAACACCTAAAGAAAGACAATGATATCTTGCATGTACCAGGGTGAGCAAACAGACACTCTCCACATCAACACTGTCAAAGAAACAGCAAGAAATACTGTTTACCCACAAGCATAAAGGAATTACATATATTAGAAACCAACACTTTCTCATTACTTTATTTTCCAGATCAACAGACTGGGCCACAGCAACGCGTGGCAGGGGAAAGCTAGTATAGTATATGATACAATATATAAACATTTTTGGTACTACACAATAAACTTTTGCTTCAAAAAGGGCTCAGTGTCTGAAAAAGCTTGAGAATCCCCACTCTATGCTTTTGGTATGGTAACAGGATACATTCTAATAGTAACCCTCGCATTTAAAAAAAATGGAGGATTTGTATTTTGCTTCTTTCTTCTGCCCCATCCTATCCCAGTATTTATATCTCAAGTGGGTGGGTGGGTGGAAATACAAAACTAGAGACTTTGATTAGAGATGGTAGCTTAACACCCACATGGCATAATCTCCTCTTCTCATCTGAAACACCATGGCCTTTATTGTACAAGCTTCATAGCATGGCAGGGCTACATAGCTTTCGTGATAAAAGTATGATGTTTATGTAAAGGGATAGATTTGGGATCTTTTAACTGGGTATTAACTGCTGGTATTAGGAACTTTGAAGACAAGAGTTTATTTTGTACTGGGGAAAGATGGGGCTTTTAGAAGCTTAACAAGGATTCTCAGTTAGACTGCTTGATGTCCAGCACCAGTGTTCCCCATCAATATGAAACTGAAAAGCCACGTTGAGCTTATCAGGAATTGACAGAGAGTATAGGCCCCCGGTGGCGCAGTGGGTTAAAGCACTGAGCTGCTGAGCTTGTTGATCAAAAGGTCACAGGTTCAATTCCGGGGAGCGGCATGAGCTTCCGCTGTCAGCCCTAGCTTCTGCCAACCTAGCAGTTCGAAAACATGCAAATGTGAGTAGATCAATAGGTACCGCTCCGGCGGGAAGGTAACAGCTCTGCATGCAGTCATGCCGGCCACATGACCTTGGAGGTGTCTACAAACAACACCGGCTCTTCGGCTTAGAAATGGAGATGAGCACCACACCCCAGAGTCAGATATGACTGGACTTAATGTCAGGGGACTACCTTTACCTTTACCTATAGGCCCTACAGCGCTCCATGCAGTCATGCCAGCCACATGACCTTGGAGGTGTCTACAGACAACGCTGGCTCTTCGGCTTAGAAATGGAGATGAGCACCACACCCCAGAGTCAGACATGACTGAACTTAATGTCAGGGGACTACCTTTACCTTTACCTTATAGACCCTAAATGTGGGATTAGTAATATGTTGCCTTCCGGATACTGTTGGGCCATATATCCAATGATGAAGGATGATAAGAGTGACAGTGCAGGACATTTGGACGTTCACACTTTTTAGATCCCTGTCCTTGAAAACTTTTTAGAATCCCCTGCAGTGCACAGGAAGTCAGTGGTTATGAGAAAAGTGATCTTTAAATATAGACGATTAGATATTTAATCGCATTGAAATAAATAACAGGAACCAGCTGTGTTTAAGCTATTCTAGCTACTATTGAGTCCATTAACTGTATTAAAAGCTGTGTCCCAAGCATATGTATTTGGATTTCAATAAGACTAGATTTGAAGCAAATATAGCAGAATTTGGGTTTCTGGCCTCTCCCTCTGGAAATCCGAGGGATCAAGAATTAATTCCCTTTTATTGCATTGGGTCAGGACTCACAGCTATAGTTGACAGTGATGGGCATCTGCCAAGGCTCACACTTCACCAGGCAAGTGCCCATCACTTCCAAATATAGATGTATGGCAACCACAGCTCCCTGCTCTTGTTGGTATTCCCTCATTGAGCAGATATGTTCTTCTGGACCAAAGCAAGTGTATAAGAATGCGATGACAATAATACCTAACTAGAACAATTGTCCTGATCATGGATGGGGGATGTTGTAATACAGCACAACTAGAAGGTGCTGGGATGGGAGACATTGGTTTATGCAACCCTGCCATGAAAACTCTGCAGTCTCTAGGTGAGAAACCTAGTTTCCAGGGAAACATGTTGTCTACAGGCAGGCATGTAGCTGGGGGGGGGGGGTGGGGCCCCCCCCCCCCCCCCCAAATACTCATGGTAGTCTGCGAAAATGCCTTACTGGTACATTATTTAAACTGTTATGTTTATTCATATCATGATCTGATCACCATGTTCAATATATCCCATATGCACGGGGGTATTGGGGTAACGATACAAAAGGTTTGCTAGGGTAGACCCTCTTTCACTCAGACTCAGCCCCCCCCCCCGAATCAAAATCCTAGCTACGGGCCTGTCTACAGGTTATCTAAAAATGGGATGTGCCCAGCTAGCCATGACCATTGTCTGACCTGGGTCATCCTCACCCTGGCTTCACACATACTTGTGGATGACAGGATGTTTATGAACAGGTCTTTAAACTTTCCTCAGAATCTTGTCCCATTGAATTTTCCCTTCCCCAAGATCTGAAATATTATCACTCTTCATAGTATTCCCTAGATTCATTCCCAAGTTCATTTGATGGCAAGACTGGGAAAATATTATAGATCTGTGATTAGCAGGTGATGACTTTAATGGCACAGATCAGGGATGTCAAACTTATTTTCACCAAGGGCCATATCACCCTTATGCAGAAGCGGCCCTAGGTAATTTTCAATGGTAAGCAAACAGTATTTTGCCCCCCCCCCCCAACCAATCACTGATATATATTTTCTGTTCGTCATGGGAGTTCTGTGTGCCATATTTGGTTCATTCCATCATTGGTGGAGTTCAGAATGCTCTTTGATTTTAGGTGAACTATACATCCCAGTAACTGCAACTCGCATATGTCAAGGTCTATTTTCCCCCAAGGGCACCCCAAGAGCGCCCCTGGGCAAAATAAACTATACTGCAAATGCTTACGTTGTGTAATGGGTTGAGCTGCCCCTGCCCTTATGGTTGGCTTCAAAGGGCCGTTTGCAATTATAAGACTGTATAAATACAACCATTTTGCCCTGACATTGAAAGCCTTGCAGGCCACATAAAATGACATGATGGGATGGATATGGCTCATGGGTCTTGCATTTGAAAAGCATGGCATAAATAGAGCCATAGCTTACTTCGAACACACTTCACTTTATGTTCTGAATAGCTTACAGAGGGTACTGACTCTACTACCTGTTGCAATATTGTGGCCTTTAACAGTAGGAACTAAACAATTGGACTTAGTCAGAGAAGAGCATCCTGATATATAAGGAGTGAGTTATTGAATTCATTTATACTTATTTAATGTTACATATAAATAAACCGGAAAGCCAGTATGGTGCACTTTAGTTTGCTAATTGATGACAGCCAGTTTTACCTGCAGGTACTTCTGCATTTTATAAATTTTAATAATTTTATTATTATGTGATATTATTTGTGCTCATGGTGGTTGTTGATATAATTTTATGTTGTTATTGTTTTTATGCTTATGCATTGGTGATTTTATATGCCGCACTCTGGGATGCTTTTGTGAGCCACCCCAAGTCCTTTTGGGGAGATGGTGGAGGGGTATAAATAAAGTTTATTATAGTGGTTTATTAACGTGGGGTTGCCTTTGAAGACTGCTCGGAAGCTTCAAATGGTCCAACGCTTGGCAGCCAGGGTACTAACAGGAGCGGCACTCAGGGAGCATACAACTCCTCTGTTGCACCAGCTCCACTAGCTGCCAGTTTGCTACCGGGCACAATTCAAAGTGCTGGTGTTAGCCTATAAAGCCCTAAACGGTTCTGGCCCTACTTACCTCTCCAAACACATCTCCTCCTATGAACCAACTAGGACATTAAGATCATCTGGAGAGTCCCTGCTCTCAGTCCCGCCTGCATCACAGGCGCGCCTGGAGGGAACAAGAGACAGGGCCTTCTCAGTGGTGGCCCCTTGGCTGTGGAATGCCCTTCCTATAGATATCAGATCAGCCCCATCCCTATTGACATTTTGGAGGAGTGGTGGCTGTTCAAACAAGCATTCGATTAAGCAGTGTAATTAATATAGGAACACGGATTAACGGATGATGAGATTGGATTCTGATTTTACTGATGAGACACTAATGATTGTTATATTGATGTTTAATTGTTGATGATGCTATCGTTTTAACTGTCCCATAATCGTTTTATGATGTTTTGCATTGAATTTTGCTGTTGTTAACCGCTTTGAGTCACCTGAGGGCTGAAAAAAGCGATATATAAATGAAGTAAATAAAATAAATAATGGTTGTAAATTGAACTATGACTCTGAAGACTAAAGTTTGAATCTCTGCTCAGCCACAGAAAACTGCTAAGTGTCCAGAGGCAAGTCACATTGTCTTTGTTTTAGAGCAGTGGTTCTCAACCTGTGGGTCCCCAGGTGTTTTGGCCTACAACTCCCAGAAATCCCTGCCAGTTTGCCAGCTGTTAGGATTTCTGGGAGTTGAAGGCCAAAACATCTGGGGACCCACAGGTTGAGAACCACTGTTTTAGAGGAAGGCAAAGGAAAACCTTATCTGAACAAACCTTGCCAAGAAAACTCTGTCATAGATTTGCCTTAGGGTTGCTATAAGTTGAGAATGACTCAAAGACACAGTTATAAATCAATCAACTTATTTAATGTATTAAAATGCAAAAATGTTTGAAAGTGGTGTGATATTGAATAAGGGAATAAAAAGTTTTAAATGTGCAGAAGTCTCAGAGACAATAGATTTCTAAGTCTAGGAAATAATGTCAACCATTACTTGTTTCAACAGAGCCGTGCTATGCAATGATCCTGAGATGACACTCACACCTGTGAACTTCCCAGTGGACACATTTAAAGTCAGAATAGAAAAGACAGCCATCCGGAGGGTTCCAGGGGAGTCTTTCCATTCCCTCCATAACTTGGAATTCCTTTGGATGCCCTATAACTCCTTGGCAAGCCTCAGTGTGACTAACTTTAGAGGACTCCGCCGGCTGCAAGAGTTAAGACTGGATGGAAATGCTTTGACCTCCTTCCCTTGGGACGCCCTACTAAGTATGCCCCAGTTAAGGCTCTTGGACCTGCACAACAATGAACTTGCCTCCATACCAGCCGATGCTGCCCAATATGTCCGGAACATCACTTACTTGGATGTCTCAAGCAATAAACTGGTGACACTCCCTCAGGAACTTATTGCAATCTGGTCGAACCTCCAAGCAGTTCCATACTTCCCCAATGACAACTCTAAGATCATCTTAGGTAAGATCTTTTCAATATGAAATTGACTAAGCAAAAAAACTTCATCAGGGTGGAAAAAATTATAGTTTATGGTATGCCCCACATTTTCCCCTAGGCAACACTTCAGGGGATACACCTGCTTTTCCCAAAATTGCCACCAAAATAAACTAGAAACTGGCAACTTCTATAGTGCAGAAGGTGCGTACTCTTTGGTGCACACTTCTTTACCATAGTGCAGGGCTAGAGGAAGTGGAACAAGCAATAGGAATCGTCTGATGAAATAGACTTGGGTGGTGTCTACATTTGCTGTGAGAAGTCCACATAACATAGGCCTGCAACAGGAATCAGTTCTTGCTAGTTGTCTAGGATCTGCCCTTTCTTTTTTCCCCAGACAATTAGCTTCTTAAGGTCAGAAAGGTAGCAAGTCTCACTACTGGCTACTGGGTTTCCTTTCTCTTTACTCTTCACATAGTCATCCACTTGTCTATTGTCTGTTTCGGTAATGGGACATTGATCTCTGGTTTGAGTGGCCTATTTGATAGCTATATGTAACTAGACTTATGACCTCATCATAAGTGTCCTATGACACTTCAACCTCACCTGAGGCATGAAACCTGCTGAATCCCATCATTGGTGGGCCTCCTCAAGTGAAGCTGAAGTGTCATAAGAGGCAGTGCTGGCAACACGGGAGGCTTCCCGTGTTGCATAAGAAACAGTGAGGGGAAACCAAGTGGCAACACTTCCCCTTTGGGATGAGGTAGGGGTAATGTGGGCAATGTGTGGTGTGGGGCAATGGATTTCCCATGCACTCCCACTAGATTCACTATGAGCCATGGCGAATTCCCCCACTATTGCCCAAATTGGGGACCTCCGTGTGATGAGGTCCTTAATGAGATAGCCAGGAGGGCTATGAAAATGGGTGGTGGTTGTGGTCTTTATTTTATTTATTTATTTCATGCACTTTTGCCCCACCCTTCAATGTTGCAGTGTCCAAGTCTTCTTTCCAATTGCCGCTATCCACTAATCGAACGCCTTGTCCCAAAGCCAGGTCTTCTATTGCCTTCTAAAGGACAGGAGGGAGGTGGCCAACCTGATGTACCTGGGGAGAGAGTTCTACAGATGGGGGGGGGGGCACTGCCAAGAAGGCCCTGTCTCTTGTCCCCACCAACCGCGTTTGCGATAGTGGTGGGATCAAGAGCAGGGCCTCTCCTAAAGATCTTAAAGATCCATGTGGCTCTTGGGTGGCACAATTGGCCACCCTGTTGTCTATACATGCTCTATGTTCACAGACCTGTAGACTGGAGCCAAACAAAGATAGTAGACCCTAGCTTACATTGAAATCAGTATGTCTGTAGTCATGACTAACTTTTTCTGCTAACTAATTTCATCTATGAAAAGATATTTTCATAAAGTACTTCATCCCCATTTTTCCTATACAACATGGAAATCAGTTCACTGCTTGTTACAGTGTCTTTAATGGTAACTCATTTAACCACATGTTTTCTTGCTTGTTACTTTGCTGTAACTTTGAGAAAGGCAGGGTTGACAGGAGAATGATATAAAATTTTAGGGGGGGAAATCCACCAGAAAGCCTCAGTAAAGTAACTAGAAAATATTGCTCATTGCAGCACTACATTAACATCATCCTGTCCATTACATTATGTTTGAAATATTACTTTGTTGAAAAAACCTACACATAACTACTCAGAACGGAGTGCCACTGGGTTCAACAAGTCATATTCCTATGCAATTTATTCCTCCCTCTTCATTTTCTCCATTCTAACTAAAACAACAAGAAAAACAAACAACTCATATTAGGGCTTGAATTAGAGCATGGAAACTGTCTTGGGGGGTATATTTTGCATATCATGAATGGGCAGCAAATACGAATACAACTTGATTATTCTTACTTTCTACTGCAAAGGAGTGGAAAGAAGTATCTATGAGAGATTCTTCCTCACATGCCAAAATAACAGGACTCTCTTAGGGTAATCTGCTTCAGATAGCAATAAGTGTTGTGTGAATCCTACCCTGTTTTCTCCCTCATCATCCATCACTATCACCTCCTCAATGATAACATTGCAACACTGTTGGTGGGGATGTGAGAAAGGCCCTTGTAAGTAGCTGTCCCTCAACTCTGGAATTTCTTTACTAGTGAAGCCAGAATGGTCTCCCCTCCCTGCTGTCCATTCAGGCAGGCTTTTAAAAAAATACAGTTTCAAAGATTGAGCTAGGCGCTGCTGTGTATTGTTTTATATATTTTAATAGTTTTTCTTAATGGTTTTACAGGTTTTAACTATTCATTTTAATAGTCCTATGTTTAATTCTATTTTAATGTTTATATGTTTAGGTTTTAAATTATACATTGTGTTGTTTGTCCTCCAACATCGAAATAACGAAACCACACAACTTTGTTTGGGTTTAAAAATGGGTAACTTTATTGTTACCTAATTAACTTTAACTGTTTTAACTTATAAATTTTAATTGGTGTGGGCAATCCGAGGAAGTGTCCCTGTCTGCCACTCCTCGGCTAGCTGGGGAAAAACCTGGGACCCCCTTTAACCAAATCTGGGCAACCTCTGAGGAAATGTACAGGGAAACTTACCCAAGGTAACTCAGGCCAGACTCCTCACCCTTCCTATACCATTTGTAATCACCTCTCCCGCCAAAGTTAACCTCAGGAGAGTGTTTAAGTAATAACCTATTATCCTTAAAAGGGGGGTGCCTTGGGTATATCTCAAATAATCTATTTTCCTTATTTGTTTTCCGATGACAACCTATTTAATATCCCACCATCCCAATTTGCCCTGACAGTATAAGGTAGGCGAAAAAACCCCCTAGAATATAGGGGAGGGGGAATTCCTACCAGGCCCCCTAATGGCAACCTGATATACTGTTATAAAGGGTGGGTGTGGTGGGTCGACGGTCTTCAGCAGACTGAAGGGAGGCAAACCAGGTGAAGGCTTGGCTCCTCCCTCCGGAAGTAGTTCCGGTCGGAACTATATTGTCTCTCTTCGGCGAAGGGGACAAACTGCTCTCCCACTGCAGCTGCACCGCAGAGGTAAAACTTCTTCTAACATTGCTAGCTGCTTTGAATCTCTTTGAGAAAGAAAAAGCATAACAACAATAGCAACAATGCGCTTATCCCTAGGCATTAGCATTTGGATATTTGTTGACTTGGCTTTGTTGAAATGGACAGCTTGCCAATTATTATCCATTCACCAACTCCTGCATGGGCTGTCTTTCCTCATCCATGATCTATGCCCAAAAGCAATCATGAGCCACGTGGTGCTCAGAAGTTATCTACAGGGATGCACAAAGACCAAGTTCAATTAAACATCTTTGTGCACTTGTGCTAGTACATACAGGTCATTGCCACTGGTCAGAGACTCAGGCATCCTATTTTATTGATGTAGTTTGGTACATGGATGCTCATTTTTAGTTTGTATTTTTAAAGATGTGGATGTTTCGGTGTGCATTCGACTGACGGCTCCTATGACAAACGACCTGTATTATGACCTGAATCATGATTTAATCTGAATTCCTATATTACATTACTATTCATTTTTGTAAGTTAAGCTGAATTGACCCTTACCCTGTTTAATTGCTCTGTTTCCATGATATCTCCAATGCTATTATACATTTCTATCCACCTTATTGAACCACTTACCCTTTAGCCAGTTTGCATATTGGCCTCCTTCCCCCCTCCAAAATAGTTTGTTGTTGCTTGATGCTTTTCTATTATTGTTATGCTGTTTTATGCTATTTTAATTTGTAATTTGTTATTGTTCTGTTTTTAATTGTATATTGCCTGGGCTTGGCCCATGTAAGCTGCTCTAAGTCCCTTTGGGGAGATGAAGACAGGGTAGAAAAATAAAGTTCTCCTTCTCCTTCTCCTTCTCCTTCTCCTTCTCCTTCTCCTTCTCCTCCTCCTCCTCCTCCTCCTCCTCCTCCTCCTCCTCCTTCTAGGTGATTAAGAGGGCAATTGGGTCTGTTATGTGTCATGTATTCTGGAAATGGGATGATCTGCATCTAAATATTTATCCTCTGCAGTGCAGGGGAAAGAGGAGAAAAGACCACCTTGCAACCACTGTCTGATTTATCTTCAGTAGCTAACTGCTGCTGTCTGGCAGTTGCTCTTTTAACTGGGAAGTAGAACAAAACATGGGGAAATCCTTGAGTTATGTCAGATCACTCAATTGTTGGAGATAACTGGGGATTTAAGAGTGCCAGGGCTCAGTGGGTGGGTATGGTCACAACATCTGATAAGACAAATTGTTACTAATCTCTGTGGGCCAAATTGAGCTTGTGAACAAGAGATCACCTATTAACGAAAAAACAGTCCCTGCAGGATATTAAACATCTGTCTGTCACCATATACTCCTAAAATGTGTTGGGTATTTTTGTTACTGAGAAGTGTGGTAGGAACAATTTTGTAAAATCCCAGCTTTAATTTAGGAGAGGCCTTTTTTCAAAGCAGAAAGTCACCTAAGATTTTTTGGGAAAAGGTCCTCTCACAGTGTAAAAACCTGGCAAACATGACTATTACAAAAATAATACTGTAATTTTGTTTACAGTAATTACAAAAAAATTACTAAATGCTGCCTGAATGTGACCACTATGGTCAGGCTTGTCTAGCACTTGGATGAGAGACAATCAATGAATGATACCGTATGCATTATTCAGAGGGTGGGAATAGTGAAACCACCTCTGAGTTTTCCTTGCTTAAGAAAATGCTACAAAATCAATGGAGTTACCATGAGTGACTTGAAGGCACATAATTAATGGGATCACCACGAGTCAGCAGGGGACTTGAAGGCACATACACATTTGCAATTAACTGAAATATACTGAGAGAGAGGTCTTATAGGACCTTATCAAATGCAGCATTTCTTTGCCCTCCACCCCACACACTTTAAAAACAGTTTAAAGATGGAGTCCTGCAGAGCCCATTATACAAAAAAAAAAAAAGTACTTCTGCCAGTTGCCTGTGGGATTCCATCTTAAAGATGTGTTTAAAG